CGACAACGGATAATTTTCCCCTGTAGATATACCTTTACCTTGGCATGTTGTTCTTTACAGGTTATTGGTTCTGGAAGCTGTAACGCTGTCGTCAATCCTCTAAACATTGAGGTAAGCTACAACCTTATACTGCGACAGACGCGGTGGCCTCATGGTTAGTGCGCTCGTCTCTGGATCGGTCAGGGCCGGGGTCAATTTGAAGTGTTCTTAGGCATGACAGTTTACTCTCACAGTGCCTCTCTCCACCCAGGCGTATAAATGGGTACCGGCGAACTTAAATTGATGCAGGGGGTAACTCTGCGATGGACTAGCATCCCATCCGGGGGGGAGTAGAAATACTCCTAGTCGCTTCATGCTACAGAAACCGGGATAAGCGCCGGCCTGTTGATCCACTTGGCCTGCATGTATGCAGACTTTTACTATCGTATACTGATCCTACCTTGATTTGAGAAGAAGATAGAAAAGTGAAGATAAATTTAGAAAAGAAAGTAAACTCAATTTTGTCAGACAGACAATATCGCCATTAAATTACCTGTGGTTCAACTGGAGTACCCAAAATCCTCTCCAAACGTTTGAAGCTAGTAAGAGCTACTTCAATCCGGTTTTTGTGATAGCAATCGAAGATGAAGGGCATTTATATTAAGCAAGTCATCAGTTTCTAGTTGAGACCATGCCTTTGGCCAATGATTACTCACATGCAGCTGTGTTTAAACTATTAGAGATTCTATGAACTAACTGTATACTCACTCTCAACCATTTCTCATAGCCTGCCAACACCAATGGTTCAGTCATTAAGGAGAATTTCAAACGAGACAGGCGTGACACTACAAGACTGGTAAGAGCGCATGTTTCTTGTAATAAGAGCGCATGTTTCTTGTCTTGCATTCTAATTTAGAATCACTTGCTAAAGATTAAAATATTTATTGCTGCTATCAATAACCTTATTTAGTAACTGATATGGCTCGTGAATTGACCTTTGGAATATTGTGTTTCTAGCACACCTTTTCCGGCGGTA